GAGAACATCTCATGTTCATGGATTAGAAAATTTAATATTGTTAAGATGACAGTACTCCCCAAATTCACCTCTTGATTCAGTGAAATCTGTATCAAAACTCAGGTTCGCTTTTTTGGAGAAATTGATAAGCTGATCATAAAATTCACATGACAATTTAACAGATCTCAAATAGCCAAAACAATCTTGAAAAAACAAAGTTAGAGGACACATGCTTCCTAATTTCAAAACTTACTAAAAAGCTACAGTAATTACTATGGTCTGAATGTTCGTGTGTTGAAGTCCTGACCCCAAAAGGTGATAGTATTAGTAGGTGGGGAATTTAGGAGGTGCTTAAGTCATGAGGGTAAAACCCTAATGAAGAGATTAGTGCCTTCTAAAAGAGACCCCAGAGAGATCCCTAGCCACTCTTCCATGTGAGGGCACAGTGAGAAGTCTGAAACCTGGAAGACAGCCTTCATCCAACTATGCTGGCACCCTGTTCTCAGACTTCCAACCTCCAGAATTGTGAGAAATAAATGTTTGTTATTTGTAAACTACCCAGTCTATAGTATTTTCTTACAGCAGCCTGAACAAACTAACACAGTAATCAACACAGTGTGGTCAGGGCACAAGGAGAGATATGTAGATCAATGGAATAGAACTGAGAGTCAACAAATAAGCTCTCACATTTACAGTTAATTGTTTTTCAAAGGAGTGTCAAGACAGGTCAGTGGTGTGAGAATAGCCTTTTCAATAATTTATGCTTACTGGTACAAGTGTATATCCACCTACAAAGGAATGAATGAAGTTGGACCCCTTCTTACATCACACACAAAAACAAACTCGAATACAATATCAGAGGGGTAGTAGATTGGGGGAGGAGGGTTATCATTTTGTGAGGGGTGTAAATGTCTAACTATTATATTGTTTTGTATACCTGAAGCTAATAAAAAAAATGAACTAGAAATATATCACAGACCTAACTGCCTATTTAAGAGTAGTGTAAAAATGAGAGTATTAAGAGTAGTTAGAGTAGCTAAATGTATAAAAAAGCTAAAAGTATAAAACTCTTAGAAGAAAATATAGGACTAAATCTTTGACGTTTGGTAGGCAAAGCCTTCCTAGACATAACATCAAAGCACAAGCAACTAAAGAAAAGAGATAAATTGGACTTCATCAAAATTAAAAACTTAGGTGCTTCGAAGAACACCATCAAGAAAGTGAAAAGACATCCCACAGAATGGGAGAATATTGGCAAATCTGAAAAGTATATTTTATCTTTAGGTTAAAAGGCAAATAACCAGTTAAAAATGGGCCAAAAAAATCTAAATAGAAATTTCTCCAAAAATAAAATATACCAATAGTTAGTAAGCACATGAAAAGATACTCAAAATCGTTAGTCATCAGAGCCATGCAAATTAAAACCAAAGAAATATAAACCACAGAGACAGGCAATAACAAGTATTAGTTGGGGCTATGGAGAACTCGGAACACACATACACTGCTGGGGGGATATACAATAAAATGGTGCAGCTGCTGTGGGAAACAGCCTACCAGTTCCTCAAAATGCTAAACATATAACCCAGCAACTCCACTCATAGGCTTACAAGAGAAATAAAATACATATCTACACAGCAACTTGGATAACATTATTCAAGATAGCCAAAAGATGGAAACAACCCAAATGTCCATCCTTTGATAAAGAAAATGTGGTATATTCATACAATGGAATATTACTCAATTCTGAAAAGGAATGGATATATGCTATGACATGAACTTGAAAAACATTATGCTAAGTGAAAGAAGACAGTCACCAAATAACACATTATATATTGGGTTGTCAGAAAAGTCATGACATATTTTTTCTATGTTTTTCAAAGGTCATTTATTTATATAAAGAACAAAGATCAATCAATGATATATTGCCCGTTTTGTTCGATAACCTTTTGCCACCTTGCAGTGAACTTCAGAATTCCTCGTTCATAGAAGGACCTATCTTTATCAGCGAAAAACTGAAGGTGCTGATTTACAGACTCATCTGAATTGAATGTTATACCACGCAAGGAGTTTTGAAGAGAGCGAAACAAGTGGAAGTCTGATGGTGCAAGGTCAGGCGAGTATGGTGGGTGTGGCAACACATCCCATGCAATCTCCAATAATTTTTGACGGGTGATCAAACTTGTGTGTGATCCCGCGTTTTCATGATGGAACACAGCTCCTTTACGATTAACGAGCTCTGGACGTTTCTGGATGATGGGTTCGTTCAAACTGTCCAATTGCCGACAGTACACATTCGAATTGATTGTTTGGTTCCTTGGTAGGAGCTCGAAAAACACGACACCTTTAAAATCCCACCACACTGAGAGCATAACCTTCCTCTGATGTCATTTGAGGTGAATCATCTGCTTTCGATGTCATTTGAGGCAAATCATCATGTCGGGACCAGGACCATTTGCGCAACATTGTTGTAAACAGTCCACTTCTCATCACCAGTTATCAGTCGCTTCAAAAAAGGATCGTTTTCCTCATGTTTAATGAGCATATTGCAGATGTTTATACGCACCGTCAAATGAACTCCTTTGAGTTCATGTGGAACCCAAATATCGAGCTTTCTTAGGTATCTTAGCTTCTTCAGGTGGTCGTGAACGCTTGGATGATGGATGTTCAATGTTTCTGCAATCTCTCATGTCGTGTAATGTGGGTTCGACTCGATCAATGCCTTTATTTTGTCATCAACCTTGGAAGGCCTCCCTGACTGAGGAGCATTGTTGAGATCAAAATCGCCAGCATGGAATTTCTTGAACCGTTGTTGGCACTGACATTCTTGTAGAGCATTGTCACTGTAAACTTGACGCAACTTATCACAAGTTTGACGCACGTTCTTCCCTTTACGGAAGTAAAACAGTAAAATATGGCGAAAATGCACAGTTTGGTCTTACATCTTCAACTTGTAAAATCTCCAAAACTCAACCAAATCGCTCAATTTTTTTTTTAGAATGAAGCTAGAACTGTCAGCTGTCAATTGACAGCAATAACAGATACAAATGACTCTAGTACTTCCAAAAATGAACTAGCGCCATATGTTGCAAAAATGCATCATGACTTTTCCAACAACCCAATAATTCTATTTATATGAAATGTCCAAAATAGGTAAACCCACAGAGACATAAAGTAGATTAGTGATTGCCTAGGACTGGTGGGATTTGAGGTTAATGGGTATGCGATATCTTTGGAGGATGATGAAAATGTTCCAAAATTGATTGTGGTGATGGTTATACAACCCTGTGAGTACACTAAAAACCATTGAATGATACACATTAAAAGAATGAATTGTATGGTATATGAATTATGTCTTAATAAAGCAGTTATATAAAAATATACTAAATGAATAGTTTGCAGAACAGTATATATTAGATAAATATATTTTTGTAAATAATATGTAAGTTCATAACAAAAAAATTAGCAAAATTTGTGAATCCATGTAAAACAGACATTGATGTATCTTTTCTTGATATAGTAGTTTTAATCATGTAACAGATCTGGTGATGAAATTTCTTACAGTAATTGATACCACCTCATTAATAAAATAACACTAGCATTTATTGCATTTTTTCTATATGCCAACATTGTGCTAAATTATTATTTTTTAAGACTTTATTGGGGAATTAAGGGAGGGGAACAGCGTTGGGGAGTTGGCAAAGGGGAACAGACAAGTTGCTGTCCTTTTGTTCTTCAGTCTAGTTGTGGAGACGTCGCTTCACTGGCCCATGTTGGTATGATCATTGTACTCTTCCCGGGTGAGGCAGTCGGTCGCTGGTCATTGATCAGCGGCTCCCAGCAGCTCCCAGCAGCTCACACCAGCTGCCAGCTGCTCAAGCTGGCTGCCAGCCACTCACATAGCTCACGGCAGCCCAATGCAGCCCTGCTGCAGCCTACGCTGTTGCCGCCGACTCACAACAGCCCAACTCCAGGTTGAGCTGTTGTTCACCATCTTAGCTGTAGAGGGCGAGCGTCACTGGCCCTCAATGTGGGTTCCAAACCACGGCCCTGCTGCTCAGAGCTGGCGTCCCAAGCAAGCTCTTAACCAGTTGAGCCACTCGGCTGGCCCCCAAGCCAACTCTTAACCAACTGAGCGACTCAGCTGGCCCCTGTGCTAAATTCTTAACATACATTTCGTCATGTGTTTTTCACAATACTGAATGATGCCCCTGTGTATTCTTTCATGCTCCCCTTGCTTTCTATTCTCCAACATACCAAAGTTTACATTTACAAAATTGTATTTATCAGAACCTCAAAAATGCATGATTCCTTTTGTTGTTGTTAGCAGTAGCTAAAAAAGGTAAATAATGTAGGTCTGCATTTGAATTGGTATTTATGTATCCTGAGCCGTTAATAAGAGCATATTGATATATCTATCTGTGTGTGTTTAAGTAACATTTTAAGTTTAAGCTAAAACAGTTTGTATTTGTTATAGTTGATTCCCGATTAGAGGCAAAAACACTTTTTAGTTACTGGTCAGTTTTTTGTTTGATGTACCAAATTTGAAAGGCAATCATTGGCAAAGATAATTTTTAGAATTTTTTTCCCATTGTAAATGTAGACTAGTGTCTCGGTCAGTTTGGGCCGCCATAACGAAATACCACAGACTAGATGGCTTAAACAACGTACATGTATTTGTCACAGTTCTGGAGGCTGACAGGTTCAGGGTGGCTGCAGAGTCCCCCGTTGGTGAGGGGCCTCTTCCTTCTCACTGTACCTTCACCACATGGAGGGCAGAGTGAGAGCAAGCTCTGTGGTCTTCTTACAAGGACTCTGATCCCATCGTGAGAGCCCTACCTTCATGAGCTCATGGAACCCTAAGCACCTCCCAAAGGCCCCACCTCCAAACACCGTCACATTGGAGGTTGGGGCTTCAACATTCGAATTTAGGGTAGGGGGGACACAATTTAGTCCATAGCTACTAGCTGTGGTGAAAATCTTGTCCACAAATGCTAACCCTAGCGTTTTTTGTTTGTTTTTAGTATTATGTGCCAAGAATCTTGCAAAGAAAGACTTCTTCAGTAAGTAAATACCCATTTTTGCTTTTACAATATTAATATTCTTCACATATTTCTGAAATTTTAAACTTTTTAAAAAAACACTGGGTGTATTCTCCTAAGTCCTGCCTTTTACAGAATAGAAACCCATGGTTGGACAAATCTCATTTCCCAGTTGACTACAACACAGGCTCCTTAGCTCCAAGGCACAGAATTTCTAACTCGTACAAGAAAAACTCTCTCTCGTTCCCTATTCTGGCCACACCCTGTTTTCTCTGTCTTTCCACCATTAATGTGTTGCTTTCTGCTGGATGGAGTGTTCTCAGCTCAAATACAGATGAGACATTTCTCTGTAAAATAGCTGGGTTTGAGTAAAATTGTTAATCAAATTTTATAAATTAAATCAACTCAAGAAATTAACTCAAGAAATTCACCTACTATAAAGTAGCTGCCTGCAGCATGAAATTCTTCACACTCTTTCTGATCCTCGCAAGAACACCACTCAATTCTAAAGTGGTATTATTCACACTTTAAAGGAAGGAACTTAGGCTTACAGGCTTTATTCAAGTAGGGGTTTATTCAAGTAGCTCAGCAGCTCCAGAGCGGTGGCTCACAGCCAGGCCTGTCCCCAAACCCTTACCTCGCCACCTCTCTGATCTTGTAACCCTATCTGATTCATTTAGGAACTTGGTGAACATAATCAGTAAACAAGATTTCTAGGTAGTATTACTTTTAGAAAGTATAAATACAGTTAATTCTAGACACATTTTCTCCATTTAATTAGCCTTACTTAGTGATCATCAAAAATGGGAATTTGAATTTAAGGTTATTTTTGTAATTTTCTTTAAGCCTGGTTTTCTTTCCTAGGCTCAAAAAATCTGAGAGTGATGTCACACTGGATTGTCTTTCTTAGAAAGCTAAGCAGATCAAAACTAACCTGAAATTCGAGAATAAAATGTACCAGGGTAATCACCATTACCAAATTAGATGACCTTGAGCTCCCTTTAGCCCGTAAGACTGTGTTGCATGTCGCACTGGTAGATCTATAGCCTCATCCAGGTGTTGCTGTCCCCTCTCCTCCAGGACTCCCCGACCCATTTGCAAAGATTGTAGTGGACGGATCTGGGCAGTGCCACTCGACGGACACTGTGAAAAACACACTGGACCCCAAGTGGAACCAGCACTACGATCTGTGAGTCGAATATTCTGTACGCCATTTGGGGAGCAGCACGCAAATGGGTACCAAGCTTTTAGGAGAAGCGTTTCATTAAAAAAAAAAGAAAGGATTTCTAACTTCTAATTGATAACAAACATGGATAGCCAAATGAATATTCGTTCTCTCTAATTTTAGAATTCATGTTCTTGGAAGTTCTTGTGTTTGACATTTTCATAGATTTTTATGGTTTGCTTCTATAACTGATCATCAAACTTTTCAATCTTCCGGCCATTCTAACAGGAGAAAATGGCCGTAGTTCAGGTTTTCTATATGCTACTGTTTTCTCAGTGAAACCCTAAACCTGGTGGTAGAGTTTTTACTTTAAAAATGCATTATTATTATTACTACTATTATTATACATATTTATTATGCAAATACATATTATGTATATTTCTGATGATTTTATTTAACTCTGCTTTTTAGTAAAAATATATGTTCTGCATGAGAAAATATAGTTTGGTATGATTGAATGTGTATAAGCCTACGCCCCATCAGACAATTTCTTATATTCGTCCATAAAATGGATTGTGCTTTGAAAACCACTATTTTATATGCACCTATGTTTTCATGCCCCTGCTACGAAATTTTTGTCAAAGTAATGCTGAATGATTATTGTTGTTGTTTTTTTTATCATCTATAGATTGCATTGTGTGTTCACCATCTAGAGTCAGTTCTTCCATTGCCATATATTTGACCCCATTATCCCCTTTTTTATTAACACAAATCGTACTGGGTTTGGGTGGGATTTTTAGTAGCTGGATTCTAAGGCTCCCTTTCAGTTCCACTGAGATAGTTACCATAGTGGCCTAGAAAGTGGTTGTCAGTCCTTGTCCTGAAAGCACCCCTCTGTGGCTGACATGCACTGAGAGTAAGTGGGGGTTAATGTACTAGTTAGTCCCCTCAGTGTGCTTTGGACAGATCTGTGGTTTCTAACTAATGTTCAGTAGTAAGCCTAACACTGGTGGGAATTTATGAATTGTGCCATTGTCCTTTGGAACTAGTAAAATATAGTAAATCTCTGTTACAAGATTATTATCTTTATGTGGTTATCTACCTTTGCTCCTGAGATAATGGGGTGTATCTTTTCCCAGCCCATTGCAGTTAGTAGACATATATTTACTGAGGGCCTGTTACGTGTGGAATGTAGAACTAACATTATTTTGAAAGGATTCTTCTATACTAACAAGTCCATCAGATCAAATCTCAGTGGGCTGTCATAATTCAGAAATACAGTTAAAGATGAGTTTACATGTCGTTTTCAGATATGTTGGGAAAACTGATTCTATAACCATCAGCGTGTGGAACCACAAGAAAATTCACAAGAAGCAGGGAGCTGGCTTCCTGGGCTGTGTGCGGCTGCTGTCCAATGCCATCAGCAGATTAAAAGATACTGGATGTAAGAACCAAAAGCTTTTCTGCCTCTTAATGCAAATGAAGAAGGCTTATGAGGCATCTTTTTTTTTTTTTTTTCTGAATACTGAAAACAGAATTCCTGCCTTCCTCCCTAGTTAACATTTCCCTGGGTTAAGTTTTGAATTGTTTGTTTGCAGACCAGCGTTTGGATCTATGCAAACTAAATCCCTCAGATACTGATGCAGTTCGTGGCCAAATAGTGGGTAAGAACTTTCTCATCTGTATAAAGAGATGCTTTTACAGAACTTAACATTCAGCTCTTCATCACTGAGAAAACACATACAGGCACTCACATGGTGACATACTTCGAAGGACAAACCACATGTGGGGGCCATCTCTTCAGTACTAAAAAGTTTCATCTTTGTGGTTTTTATTATTTTATCTAATTCTCTTCAACCTGTCATTTAAAGTGGAGTTAAATTGACTAAGGTACAAAAAGATTTAGGGTTATAATTTTCAGTGTCATTTTAATCATCACATTAATGGACAATTAATTTGTCATTGTATTACCCAAGGGTAGATGATAAGAATGGTGGCCACATATGCAAGAGTTGAGAAATAGTTTCTTCAGGAAGACCCATCATCTATGTAAAAAAGCAGAAATGATTTCTAAAGACTTCAGTGCAATATGATTTTATAGTTAGAGGATTGAATTATTTAGAATGAACAAATAAAATGTGCCAATGTTACGAAGTGTTGACTGGTGGTAATCTGTTGGAAATGATTTATCTGTTAAGTAACTCATCCTATTCACCCAGATTTTATTAGCATTTTAGGGTGACTCTAAAATGCTGTCCGCTGATTGCACGCATTGTGAGGAATCAAAGGAAACATAGCGTTTCAGCAGCACACCAGAGTGGCTTGTTACCCCAAATCTTTTAGGTTTGTCATATGTAGACTTGACCCAAAATAAATGAGCAGTGAGTATACATCCTGAAAACTGTCATAATGGAAAAGTTCTCACTCAATGCTTTTCTGTTTGTGATTTCTTCTCTTTGTGGAGGGAGGTGCTGGGGGGAAACAAATAGCTGGAGCAACTTTATAAATGTCTTTGTTGTTCACAGTAGGGACCGAGAATAAATGTTTAGCTTCATCTAGACTTTGCACATTCTGGAATGCTCTCTGCATCCATGTTAAACATAAGTCAAAACCTCCTTAAAGACAGGTAACTGAGAGGAAGTGAATATTGTGTTTGGTTATGTTTATGGAGAGCATGGAAAACACAACCGCTCTTTCTGCTCCATGTTTACAAGGAATGTTCCAGGCGATGTGAGGTGGTCTGCAGCTCCTGGAATAAAATGCTTCATATTTGAAAGCATAGGAATATATGTGTGTATGTAGATGTCCATGCCTCACTTTTTAAAAATATAATGTACATAAATTATACATTCACAATGGCTCACTGTATTATAATTGTATAATGTGCCACTGGATTTTAACCCAAGACGTTCTTTTCTGTTTTAGTCAGTTTACAGACGCGAGACAGAATAGGCACTGGAGGGTCTGTGGTAGACTGCAGAGGACTGTTAGAGAATGAAGGGTACGTATGACCGTGGCTCAGCCTGCTGAGCTCGCTGCGACCTTGGGCTCTTGCTCCCACGCTCTCTGTGAAAGTATCCCTCACACCTTTTCAGTGTGCTGAGTGCTCCAGACGCAGGAAAGGACTTTGGGATGAAACTGGAATCCAGGTTCCTTGTGTTTAAAGTTGTAGAGACTAGTGGGGTTGTACCCAAAATACTCAGGATCCAATTTAAAGAGGCTCTTACTGGTCAAAAGTGGACCAGTTTGAGCATCAGTAAGAATTATAACTGCAGTGGATTGAAACACACCAAATATATTAAACATGAACATTATGTGTTCATAATGACACAGGGAAAAAAACAAAACCCTAAAACACTTAAAAAGAAAAACCCAAAACCTCAAAAAATCTCATTGGTCCACACAACTTTGTGATCCCCAGTGAATTATGAAGCTGGGTGATAATCATTAATAGCTGTTAACAGCATCACAAAGGAGAGGTAACCTGACAGTAATTAGAAATCTAGGAGACAGAGGAATGTGTTGCACAACCCCAAGGGGATGCTACAAACCCCATCTAGAAGGGGGGACTCTAGAGTATAGAAGACACAGCCCAGTGTCTTCACAAATACACTGCTAGGAAAGTAAATCGCAGGGAAGGAAGAGAACCTATAAATTAATAATGAGAGACTTAAGAGATATACCCAGCAAGTGTGTACCTCGTTTGGATCCTGATGGAGACAATTGACTGGAGAAAGCAAACACTGGTATTTGATGGTATTTTAAAAATTAATGTACATTTTCTAGTCATGATAATGGAAGAAGTCCTTCTAGAGGTAGATGCAGAAATATTTAAGGATGAAATGGAAAAATGTTGGGATTGGTTTCAGAATAACTCAGTGGAGAGAAGCATTAGCAAAGCAGCAAGAGACAGTCGTCATTGTAGTGGGTCAAGGGGATTCATCTCCCAATTGGTGGGCATACTTGAAATTTTCCAATGTAAAATATTTTTTTAAAGTATTTGCTTATAGGGAAAATGGCCTATTAAGGTAAATTGTCTTCAAAATTGTTCAGGGGTGAAGATTTATGTTAAAGAGCGCTTACAGTCATTGCAGAATTCTATGTAACCAGGAAGTCTGTTGTGGAAAATAACAAGAAAAACAGTGTTTGGATTTGACTTTAAATCAAGAAAAATCAAGTCTCATTTCATGAGCTCCTTATAGTGCGAGGTTGGTTTTTTCAGTTATTAAGCTCTACCCGATGATGAAACCCCGCAGATGACCTTGATGGCACTTTATATATAGCTCCATTTTGGCCACTTGTTCCTCATGAAAAAGTCTATTTAAATAGGACAGTTTGAATTTTATGAAACTAAGCACTTAGGATACCCTGTATTTTTCAAGAAAAGCCAAATAAACAGATGTGGGAGCATCACATTGATTTTCAGGTCCTCTTGCCCATGCGTGCTGTGCTCTTCCCCCTTTCAGCACCGTGTATGAAGACTCGGGGCCTGGGAGGCCACTCAGCTGCTTCATGGAGGAACCAGCCCCATACACAGATAGCACCGGTGCTGCTGCTGGCGGAGGGAACTGCAGGTTTGGGGAATCCCCAAGTCAAGATCAAAGACTTCAGGCACAGCGACTTCGAAATCCTGAGGTCCGAGGGTCACTCCAGACGCCTCAGAACCGACCTCATGGCCACCAGTCACCAGAACTGCCCGAAGGCTATGGTAAGAGAATTCACCCTGCTATCCTGAGCTTTATCTACAGTGTTCTGGAGAGCTTTAATTTTTTTCAACCTGTTTTAGTAACTTGTACATTTCTTAACTGCCGATGTTTGCAGAGCTGTGCCATACGATGGTTGTGTCAATGTAAAGACAACTGGGAAAAGATGGTGATAAATCTTGCTTATCACAAATATGTCAGCAATTGTCCCAATCTCCCAGTTGAGCAATTGTAAGAAAATTTTAGGCAAATGAGTACCAAAGGAAATCAAGATGGTACATGGGGGCCGGCCGAGTGGCTCAGTTGGTTAAGAGCTCACTCAAGAGTTTGAGCTCTGAGCAACAGCGGTTCAAGTCCAGCCCGAGCTGAGCAGCCGCTGAGCTACCAACAGGTAGCAGGATGGCTCAGCTAAAAAAAAAAAAAAAAAAAAGATGGTACATGGACTAGATGAGGGTATTCGTAATGCTTTGTGATTTGAATGTGGAAAGGACAGTATGGGGTAAGAGTAAAAAGAAGGGACCATTGAAAATCACAGGGAGAACCTAATGAAAGATGGAATGTAATTTAGATGTGGCAGATCATGCCAGAAGTAACAGCACATAGAGGTCAAGGGAAGGTCATTCCTGAGGTACTGGATACACAAACAAGGTGTCATCCAGGGCTGTGGCTAAGGAAGGAGAACTCACCTCTCCAGGTGTGAACAGGAGAAAGGAAAACAGGCCCCAACATTTGCATAGGACTTGTGATGAGAGGAAGTCAGGCAGAAGTTAACCACTGCCCTTTCAAATCCTTCATGATTTTAAAGAATGGTGAAAGGAAGATCTTTGTGCTTAGAGGATTGGTTGAAAACTCTCCTTGGAACTGAATTTACCTAATTAATTGTATCCTCCCCCACCCACCCCATCCCCAATTTCTTGTACAGAACAAAGAACAACAGTGCAGGGGCAAGTTTACTTTTTGCACACACAGACTGGAGTTAGCACGTGGCATGACCCCAGGATACCAAGGTAGGTTTCTAAAATGCGCACCAAAGCTGGTTTTCCAGCAGTTGCCTGGACTCCCTGACTGGATGAGAGAGCCCCTTAGGTTGGAAGAGTGGCAGCTCCAAGAGGGTGTCTGTCTAGGGGTCCTGGACTTGGGCCCTCTAGGTGAGTGTCCCAGCTCTGCTGCCACCTCCAGGCTCTCCACCTGGTAAATCGGCAGCTGCCAGAGCACAAGGGGCCTTTAGAAAGCAGCCCTGTATCTTGAAATCAAATCACAGAACCAATAAAAGCCCTCACACCTAGATTAAATCAAATGTGCTCTGACTTGAAAAGCTAATAAATCCTACGAGCTGTGTTGCTCTCATTTTAAACTAAAAATATTGATGGAACAAATGATATGATGTCTGGGATTTGCTTCAAATAATTGGTGTGGGGGCTGTGATTAGGGGTGTATTTAAAACAAGTGACAATGACTTGATAATTGTTGAAGTTAGTTATTCATTATGGTCTCTATCTACTTTTTATATGCTTAAAAGTTTCCATAATAAGGAGTTAAAAAGGAAATATACTCTATGACCCTTTCTCTCTTCTACTTTACTGTCCCTATTGCCTCAGTCCCTTGGGGACCATTCCTGGGGGAGATGAAGCTTTTCTATATGAATTCCTTCTGCAAGGCCATACATCTGAGCCCAGGTCAGAGAGACCCCCACCCCCATCCATAACAGAGTTATGTGTCTTTTTCTTTTTCCTTTGCTTTGCCTTTTTAAATTTTTTTGGTTTTAGAACAGCATTACTACCTAATAACATTTATTTAGTAATGCTCATTTCCTTTTCATTTATAATTTGCTTTATCTGAGAACAAGCTTCCTGTCTTTGATTTTTCAAGTCTATGTTGAATTTACGATTCACTATCATAATCACAATGGAAATACCACCTGCCAATGGATGAGGTGTCTCTGTAGCAGCCACTGTAAGAAATGCCAGTCTTTTGTGCTAATTAGAAAAGCCTCTTGGTCAGTAATGCTGTGCTCCCGTATGACTGTGGATTATATTGAATAATTAATCAAGAGAGGTTGGAATTAGAAACTTTCTTAACAAAGCCAACTAAAAACTGAGAATGCCTCTTCCCAGTACAGCTGTTTAAAATTGTGAGATTTTGAATGCATGTAAATACATCCCCATCAGCTTTAAAAAACATGGCTCTGGGGGGGGGGGCCTTTTCAATGAAGCGACCTTTCTGACCTTGAGCATTTCATTTAACCTGTGGATTCAGACAGTTTTCGGCCGCATTCAGATGCTCCCTACTATTCGGCCGTCTTCGGTGTAAGAAAGGATATTCCCCAGGTAGACCATGTTCCCCATCCTGGTTATAGGCTCCGAAAAAGTTGCGTTTTTATCTGTTGGATTTTGCTGCCACTTGCAGCACAGAGGCCTGGCCTCAGAGAGTTTGGCGTAAGTAGCACCATGACTGATATGGGATCCCTGTGCTTCCTGTGGCTGAAGTTTTGGTCTTATGTCTCCAAACTCAGATGCACCAACCTCTCTGTATCTTCCATTTCATAGAGACCTTAACAGTGTGAACTGTGATGAACTTGGACCATTGCCACCAGGTTGGGAAGTCAGAAGTACAGTTTCTGGGAGAATATATTTTGTAGATCATAATAACCGAACAACCCAGTTTACAGACCCAAGGTTACACCACATCATGAAGTAAGACTTTTACAAAATCTTTGTTGACCTCTTCCATTTATCATTGAATGTTTTCTATCAATATTTTTCTGAATTTACTGCATTATTTGTTAATGGAGAGTAAGCAAGAGCAAAATATTATAAATATTTGGTGGACAGTTGCATGTTTTAAACTCTCAAGTTAGCTGTGAGCAATACTAAAGCCGTATGTTGTTGCCACCCTTTTCTTGCAGCCAAAATGAAATTTACTGCGATGGCAGCATTAGGCAGGTTCATTACTGAAGCTTTCACATGCGGCCCTGTGATGAAATGTGTGGCCCTTAGAGTGAGAAGCAGTAAAATGAGATTTTCATCACTGTCTAGAAGGGCTACCTCGGTTGATAATGCCACTTGGGAGCCTTTTCCTGTGCCTGTCCTTCCTGGAAAACTGGGAATTATCTTGGCTCCCACATCCAGTGTTCCAGGCTTCTTGTTTTCTCAGAACGTAAGAGCCCACATGGCTCTTCTCATTGACAACTAATAGCAGTGGAAAAACATGAACAAAGATGCCACTTTGTCTCTCTACTAGTCCTAGTCCTTTTATTTTATGGAATTTTGCTTTTAATGAGTGGGCTTAGAAATCAGTTGGTTCTGAAAATGAATGGTGACCGCTGGATTTCACTTGAGTTGTTTGCTTTTGTTCATATTGCCCCCTCCACTATAATCTGCTTGAAAAATGTTTCATGTCGACTCCATTGAATTCTAACTGCCAAGGCACATCTACTAGTGCATTGGTCAGTATCATACTAGATGCGTGACGAATGATACCAGTTGCTGTTTTTATTTATAGCAATGATAATGTATCAGCTACTCTGTTGCTTGGAAGTAGAGTAGCTCCTTTATTGAACCCGAGACCTATATTTAGGCTAATGGTGGCCGCCAGTAATTTTTACATAGCCATGTCATCAGAGAAAAAGTGTCTGCTTGAAGTTCTGTGTAATGAACTCTTTTCTCGGTCCCTTGATATGGGGGGCATTGCTTGCAGCTTCCTTGGCCCTGCTGCTTTTGGAGTGACTTTGATGCTTCTGTCCTTCTCAAGTCACCAGTGCCAACTAAAGGAGCCCAGCCAGCCGCTGCCATTGCCCAGTGAGGGCTCGGTGGAAGATGAGGAGCTTCCCGCCCAGAGATATGAAAGAGATTTAGTCCAGAAACTGAAGGTCCTCAGACACGAACTTTCACTTCAGCAACCCCAGGCCGGTCATTGCCGCATCGAAGTATCCAGAGAAGAAATATTTGAGGTTTGGAATTTAGTGCAACTAACAGTCAGGCATAGTCTGTGCATCCATGTTAGTAAACAGATAGGGCAATTCAGCTGAAGAAATGGCCCCCAGTAACCTCCTGTGTCTTAAGGGAGTGCTCTCAGGGGACTGCTCTGCAAGCGGTTTATGCATTTCAGTGAGCTCCTCTGTTTGCTTTTTCAGGTATTGATTTTATTACACCATAAAATGCAGATGTTTATCAGGATCAGTGCCCATGTAGAGAGGGAACTGCATTTCCTCCTGTGATAAAAATGTAAAAGCTTCTGAGGAGAAAACCTAGAGAACTGTGCAGAAAGTGGAACTGAACATTGTAACCCCCTTATCTGCAGTACCCACTTTATGTATCTCTGTAGTCTGTAGCAGTCACTCCTGCTACGGCCTCGCATGGAATTTGGTCCAGTGGCACTGCCTCCTCGGAGACGCTCAGTGGCCAGGTAGCCACCTTGTTGTCTCTTCTGGAAATAGGAAGATCACATGGCTCCTGGGAAGGGCTCTGTCCTTTATCCAGCCCCCTGGCAGGATCATGGTCCCCAAACAGGCAGGACCCTCTTGTAGACAGGGCCCTTTTCTCAAGGAAGAGGATTGATCATAAGGTGACATCTCACCTGTGTTTGGGCCACAGCCCACCTGCCTGTGGACTCGCTGGCAGACGTGACCACATGAGACAGGGTGAGCACTGAACATACCCCACTGGGCTGTAGCCCAAGAGGCTACGGAGGCCACTGCAGGGAGCCCAGCGCCTCAAGCACAGCGGGGGCACCGAAGAAGCGCCCAGGGCCATGCGTGATGCTGGTGCGCAGCCACTGCTGGACGAGTGGGTCAGCTGAAGTGCCCAGTTTTGCCCGCTGAGCATCCTTAAATGGCTGCCAGGGTTAGAAAAGAGCTGAATTATTGACGTTTTGCTGCTGGATCGTCTCCACTCAACCTCCTCTTTCCCCCTTGGGATGGTAGAGTTTGAATTACATTAAATTTAAAGCATGAAAAGATTCTTAAGTGCCTTATCACTGAAAATATCTACAAACACTTAGCTAGTCCCACTCAAAATGCTGAATCTGAGGGAATGTCAGGCTGACCACAAGTTTTCTGTGTTTTGGGTGAGCTACTTTATCTCACGTAAACCCTTTTTTGCTTTTTGACTCAGTGGGAGTTGTATGATTTTTCACTTAAGATACAAAAACAGGCTCAGAATTATTTTAATATTCAGACTGTCTTTCATTTGGGTTAAAATATATAAAGTGTGTATAGCACACATTGAAATTAATTTGTGTAGAGAAAATCAACTCTGCTGAGGACATTTGTTCTTAAGTCATTATTGGTTGTGCTGAAAATGAATGTATTTCCTTTAGGTACAGTATTACCTGGCACATGTTTGTTTTGTTGTGCTTGCTGAGTAAGAAACAGTGGGAGACAAGATGGTGGAAGCAGAATGTTCTAGAAGCCAAATAAACATTCTGCATAGGGGCCAGATAAAACTCAGATTTGAAAGAATGCTTATTTTGAATCTGATCCATTATCAGTAACCTTTCATCTTTTTATAACTTTAAGAATAAGAAAAGTTCTTCTCTGAAACTTTAATTTTCATATGTAGGAGTCTTATCGCCAGATAATGAAGATGCGACCAAAAGACTTGAAAAAACGACTAATGGTGAAATTCCGTGGGGAAGAAGGTTTGGATTATGGTGGAGTGGCAAGGTGAGGTGCTAATTTATTCACTCTCTCCGCTGCATGGACTTCAGCATAACTAATGAAATATTTACAGAGAGAAGTTGTTTGTCACTTTCTGGTGCTTGTCTTGGAACAGTCAGGACTTGAAGCTTTGCCTTCTGTGAGCTTCCTTAGAATAAGAAACCCTGAGAGCATGCGCACACTAGCATCTTGCCATAACCTATCAGAATGTACGTGGTCCTCAACATTAATTTCCTTTTTGTAAAGCAAGAATTAAATTTTTAAATTTATCCTTTTTCACTTGACATGACTGAACCTGAACCCTGAAGGACCTGCTCCTGAAATTAATCAGGGAGGCGGCCTTGCTTTTCTTATTAGAGAATTTCCAGGGGTGGGCGATAGGCATGTAAGTTGCATTTGTGTCAAAGGAAGTTTTTAAAATGACATTTTGCTCAAAATAATTCATGCAAATGATTTTTTAAATGGAATATAATAATGAAAAGCAACTATTTCCTGTCCTACCTCTTTTCACCTTTGACATAACTGCGTTTTTTGCTCTTTTAACTGTTTCTTCTATTAGGTATCTTACTATCACCAGATCAGTTAAATTCAGATATTATCTATTGATTTCATGATTTATGATCATAGACACAGACAGACTGGATAATGATTGTGGTGAGGATCTAATTTAACACTCTCACTTTCCAGTTCAGTAATATCAATATGTTTAGATCTCCTATTTGTCTTTGTAACTTTACATAAGGTGTTTTCACTGTTATTTTCTGGTTGGTCAACTGGAGACATTATCTCTTGACCTCTCTTTTCCATAAGAAAAGGATGGTAATACACAAAGGATAGTAATACTCATTACTTCCCCTTCCGCATTCTTTGGTTTCCTTCTGACATTCTGTCATCTGTAATATTACTTATATATTGTCAAGGTTGAAGATTTATATTCTGTTTTGTATCCAAAATTAAGCAAGTCTTCTCTGCTTGTCTGCCTATGGTTTTTGTTTGTTTGTTTTAAAGATTTTATTGGGGAATTGGGGAAGGGGAACAGCCAAGTTGTTGTCCTTCAGTCTTAGTTGTGGAGGGCGCAGCTAGCTCAGCTCCAAGTCCCGTCGCCATCTGGCCTCCCAGTCGGTAGCTCGTGGCCACGCAGCTCAAGGTGTTCAATCTTCATTGCAGGGGGCGCAGCCCACCATCCCATGTAGGAGTCGAACTAGCAACCTTGTTGTTAGGAGCATGTGCTCTCACCAGCTGAGCCATCCTGCCACCTGTTGGCAGCTCTGCTCGGGTGCCTCTCACTGGCCCATGTGGGAATTGAACTGGCTCAGAGCTTGCGCTCTGAGCTCGCACTCTTAACCAACTGAGCCACTCGGCCGGCCCTGCCTATTGTTTTTAAGAGTTCAAAATCAATGCATTGTTTTTGCATTATTTTAAGAGTTCAAAATCAATGCATTGTTTTTGCAATATTTTAAGAGTTCAAAATCAATGCATTGTTTTTGCAATATTCACATGGCAATGTGAATATTCCCTGAGGGTCTAAGTGTTATTCTATGATCTATTTTATCTTTTTTGAGCAGATTTTAATTTTTCCAAGAATTTCTCCTTTTTAAACTAAGCTTTGTCTTTATTGCCCCATTAAACTACATCTTTTGCCATCCCCACCCTCACCTCTAATCCCCCACCCCTCAACCCCCGTCCCCCATGGATCTCCCTCTTGGAGACTGTCCCGTCTCACTGATGAGTCTCCAGGCCTTTTGCACAGTTGTCATCATGGGACTTCACTGCTTTCCTGGGTCAGAGCCATGTTTGGTGAATCCCATACCTTCCTCTTTCTTGGTTTATGACCTTGTGTTACTACAGTATATCTTCAGGTACCTTTCTTTTTTTTTTTTTTAAAGATTTTTATTGGGGAATTGGGAGAAGGGGAACAGACCAGTTGCTGTCTTTTTTGTTCTTCAGTCTAGTTGTGGAGGACGTTGCTTCACTGGCCCAAGTTAGCACCATAATTGCGCTCTTCCCGGGTGAGGCAGATCAGTCGCCGGCTTCTGGATGGCCGCTCACGGCGGCTGCTGGCTACATACAGTAGCCCATGGCAACCCACTGCCACAGGGGCTGCAGCCTATGCTGTCGCCGGCGACTCCCGGCAGCCCAGCTCCAGGTCGAGCTGTTGTTCAGCATCTTAGCTGTAGAGGGCAGTGTCACTGGCCCTCATATGTGGGATCCAAACCGGGGCCCTCTGGCGTCCCAAGCCAGTTCTTAACCAACACGCCACTTGGCCGGCTCTTCAAGTACCTTTCTTAGAAAGGATGGTGTGGGAGGTGAATTTTCCAAGATCCTGTGTCTGAAAATATCTTTTAATTTAAACTTTGACTGATAGTTTGGCTTTTTATAGGCTCCGGGAAGAAAATCATTTCCATTCAGAACTTTGAAGGCATTGCTGTCCTGTCTCCCAGCACCCAGTGTCACTGAACAGTGGTCTGGTGATAGTTAGGTTTTAGTCACTTCTCCACCATCATGGATTCTACCACCTTTTTCTGTTTTTCACCCCTCCTGTCCTCACTTCCTCCTTACTCGTAATCATGCCATAATCACTCCCTGCACCTCGGCCCAGCCCCCTGCTCCTCCTCCCACGTGCTGCACTTACCTGGCAAGGTCCCCGCTCTGCATAAGCCCATTGTAGGCTGCTCTGCACCGCGCCTGAGCAGCTCAGTATGACGAGGGGCAAAGCCACTTCCACACTCCTGGCCTTTTCTCTGTATCGACAGCCACAAACCCCAAAGTTTCACTTCCCTCGTCACCCCTCCTGTTCTTTCTCAAATTCTAGCCTCACTTCCACCCATCCTCACTCCTAGCTGATGGCTTTGCTTCCTACTTAACGGAGGAAACAGAAGCTGTCTGAAGTCTTTCCTCAGCCCCACCCTTACCCACTCCGCCTATATCTGCAGCTGTGGCTCAGCCTTCCCTGTGTGGTCCCGAGTAGCCCACACGTGTTCCTGAAGCGGAGCCACCCACGCCTTGCACAAGGCATCTCAGGCCTTTGGCTTCTATGTTGCTTCACATCTATCTCATTTCATCAAAATGTCCTTTTCTCCTGGGTCAGTCTCACCACATACAAATGTGTTTCAACAACTCCCTCCTTAAACAAACATGCCCCCAAAACCTTCCCTGGACACCATATCCCCTGCCTGCCTAAGTTGTAAGAAGGCAATAAAGGCAAATAAAGCAAAGTAAAAAGAAAAACAATTAGAAAATTCCAGGACAAACACAAATGTGTTCAAGAATGCTTAACTCTCAGTCAAGCATTTGATGGTTTCTCCATTCTCTTTATAGCAAAACCCCTCAGAAGAGTTGTGTGCACCCCTCTTCCTGCTCCTACATCCCTTGCTTTCTCTTGACTCCTTGCCGTGCCCTTCAAAGCCCTTTGTGTTGGGGTGACCATGACCTCCATCTCACCAAGCCCAGTGATGCCTCCTCCGTCTGTAGCCTCGTCCGTCAGCAGTACTTGGCATCGTTGGTCACTCTCTGCTTCTCGAAACACTTTCTCCACTTGGGTCCTAGGACCCCACACTCCTGATCTTCCTCGGGCTCGCCCCCAGCCCCCCTTGCTGGCACTTCCCTCTCCTTCTTACTTCTGAGCACTGGCGTGCCTCTGAGCCGGGTCCTGGGGTGGGTGCCTCCGCTCCACCCCTGGGTGGATGTGCCGAGGTCCCGGCTTTAAATACTGTCTCCGGGCCAAGGACGCTCAGATGTGCCCCTCCTGCCCACTTCTCTCCCCTCAGCCCCACACTTGTTCATCCAACTGCCTCTCATCCCGTCTTGAATTTTTTTTTTTAAGATTTTATTGGGGAATTGGGGAAGGGGAACAGTGTTGGGGAATCGGGGAAGGGGGACAGCCAAGCTGTTGTCCTTCAATCTTAGTTGTGGAGGATGCAGCTAGCTCAGCTCCAAGTCCAGTCGCCATCTGGCCGCCCGATGGCAGCTCGCAGCTGCTCAGCTCAAGGTGCCATGTTCAATCTTAGTTGCGGGTGGGCGTAGCCACCATCCCATGTGGGAGTGGAAACGGCAACCTTGTTGTTAGGAGCACGTGCTCTCACCAGCTGAGCCATCCTGCCACCTGTTGGCAGCTCGGCGGCAGCTCAGCTCGGGCACAGCTCACTGGCCCATGTGGGAATCGAACTGGCGACCGTTGCTCAGAGCTCGTGCTCTTAACCAAGTGAGCCACTCAGCTGGCCCCACCTCCCTGGATATTTTTAAAGCATCTTCCACTTAACAGTCCCAAATTTCTGACTTCCCGTCTCATACCAGCTCCTCCCTAGTCTTTCCCACCTCACTAAATGGCCCCACTCAGTTCCTCTGGCTCAGGTTGTGGAGTCATCCTTACCTCTTCCCTTCGCTCACCTGCCAGCACCAATCCAGCGCTGTCCTCACAGCTCTACCCTCAGAAGAGAGTCCTGCGCCCCCCCCCCGCGCCCTCCCCCCACTTTGGCTCAGGCTCCCTCCCCTCTATCTGGCTCTTGACTGCTTCACTTACCTTTCCACTTTCTCACTTATCTTGACAGGCTGTTTCCCAGCAGCACCCAGAATGACCTTTCTAGAAGGTCTCTCCCCTGTTCCTGAGCCCCCAGAGGCTTCCCCTCCCACCCGACTGCCCCTCAGGCCTGCCCTCGCCCACCCGCCTGGCCCACACTGCTTGGCCAGCCGCCTCTGCCCCTCCCCTTCCCCACCCCTCACTCCCCACCCCTCACTCCTGCCACGCCTGGCCTGGTGACAGCAGGTGTGTCCTGCCCGGGGCCTTCACCTTCTGGGTCCCTCTGCCTAGAACTCATCCCCACTGTGTCCCATAGCTTGTTTCTTTGTTTCACTCAGGTCACCCCAGGCTCTCATCCGCCTGGCGTGGTGTGCTGGGTGAGCTTTCTCCGTCTCTCTGCATCTCCAGTGGACACACAGCCTGTGGTCAGGAACTCTGTCTCAGTTGCCGCTGGGTCCCCAGTTCTTGACAGAGCACCCAACCCATGCAAGCGCTCATCTCGATAAACATCTGCCGATTGAATGAGTTTTCCTTCTCAGTCATTCCTTCTCCCCATGTCCTTGCTCTGGTCTTTCTAAAAGGCCTGTTACTCGGATTTTGGATTCCCTGGGTTGATCCTTTATGTCTGTCATCTCTTTTCTCTTCCATCTTTTCTGTTTTCCCCACTACTTGTGGGAGATTTCCTCAAATTCTCTTCCAGTGCTTCAACGCTTTTTAAAATCACCATATTTATTCATTGAATTCCATTGTAATAAAATATAAAATGAAAGAATTAAACTCATGTGTCTATCACATGACCAAATCTTAAAGGAGAAGACCCCTATAATTTCTATGCTCTTGTAAGAATTGTATTTATTCATTAACTTAAATATTGAGCCTCTCTCATGTACTAGGTACTAGGGATACGGCTGTGACAAAATTACGTGTTTTCTGTCCGCTTCACGCCTCCGCCCTCCCCATGTAAAGGAGTCTCAGTCTGATGAGGTGCAGACATCACTCAAAGAATTACACAAGTAAATATGAAACCACAAGACTGGTAGATGCTATAAAAGACAGCCCAAGAGGACGTGTACTAGTGGCCCTGTCTTGGGGAGTCGGTTTAGGAGAGCCTGACACCTTCACAATGGAGAACACAGGCAGATTGGCAGCCCTACAGCAGTTTTCCCAAACAGTTATGTTCTGATGCGCCTTACAATGAGGTCTCACTCGGTTTCCGGATAGAGCTGGGATATTTCAGCAGCCAAAAGAAAAGAATTAAAAAGAAGCAAGTATATGTGTATAGATAGGTAGTCACAGGATGTAAAGTACAGCATAGGGAATATAGTCAGTGATATTGTAACAGCTATATATGATGTCAGACGGGCAGTAGCTTGGGGGGATTATCACTTTGTGAGGAGTGTGTCTAATCATTATGTTGTTTTATACACCTGAAACTAATATAAAAAATTGAATTCAATTGTAAATAAATAAAAGAAAGTCACCATATGCCCTGTGGTCCTAGGATAGAACCATCCCGCAAACGCCTTCCCTTTCTCTAGCTCACCTTCCCACCCCCCAGTTATCCTTGACTCCCTCTGGATAAGTGTCTGGAAAAGCCTGCATTTTCCTGACTGTGCTCACATTGGTATTGCCTCTCCACGGGAAGTGTTTTTCCTTTCATGGTTGTCCCAAGTTTCTTTCTTGATCTTCTCCATCTTGATTTTAGAAACCATCTTTCCAAATGTAACTTCTCTGTATGCTCTTGATAACACTAATTTCGTTTCCTGACAAAAGGCTTAGGCTCTCCGTCCCCCTTTTTAGGTGAGAATCTTCCCACTTAGTCATTCATATTTGTCCTAACAATTCAAATCAAACCATTACTTTCGTGTCTGTGCTATTTCCTGTAGTCTCAAGATGTCTCCAGCGTTCAGTATCTCAAACTGTTTCAATTTATCATTATTCCTTTGCATGGCTGGTATTCTGTATTCCTAGGCACACATGTGAATAGCTTGGCTGGGTTTGGTTGGAATTGTGTTCTTGTATATTTTCCAGTTACCAAGTCTTCCTTCCACGTGGAGATAAATGTTTGTGTAGCTCCCTGGGCTGATGTGGTGCTACAGTGGAAAGAGCTGTGAATACTTGCTCTGCCACCTCCAATTTGATCTTGCATTGTTACTTCACCTCTCAGATTCTTCCTCAGGTCTAAATGGGATCACACCTGTGTAGACATGAGGGAGAGATTTAAATTACATATATGTGGATGTCTATATTCGTTATCTGCTCAGTGAAAATCACTCTACACTCATTTTCCCAGTGTTTGGTTCTGAACCACTTCTGTTCTCTCTTTTGCCTGTATAGATAGCTCTTCCCTTACCACTTCGAGAACATTCCTAATAGGCCACTTTACCTTGTCCACAGCTTGATCAGAATGTTTGCTTGCATTTTAATCACTTCCTGTCCTTAGTTTTTATGAAAATGATTCTTCTCAAATCCAAACTCGCAAACATGGGGATGAATCAAAGTACTATCATTGGGAAATTCTGCTTTCTAGTCAATAGACTTTATAAGATTTAGAATCTCATCTCTCTGGCAGTTCCTTGCTTTTCTTTGGAGTTCAATACACAACTTTGTTTTGGCCTGATCATTTTTTGGGTATTCTTACAATTTTCATAGATTATTTGCATTTGTGCTTATCCTTTCCTATTCTTTCTCAATTCTGTCTTTTCTATTTGAAAGAGTAAGGAATTCCAGAAGAAAATTTGAAACTGTATATCTTAATGAGATTTATCCATTTGAAAGAAGTTTGAATAGAAAGAATAAAAGACTATATGTAGAACTGCCATAGGTATTTGTATGAGGTTGTCCCCTACCTGGGCTTGTCACAACCTAGCCGTACATAGCAATCGAATCATACAGATTCTTATTTAGAGTGCTTTTTAAGTTTGTTTTTGATTTGGGATTTTTTAATACAGAAATGATTCAAACAAAGGAATTCAGAAAATAATTCATTCTTATGCACCCCACCCAGATTTTAAAACTCTTAGCATATTTTAAATCTTCAAATATAGTTTTTTAAATTATAAAAGTGATAAATGTTAATGGCAAAAAAATAAGAATTGGGGCCAGCCAAGTGGCTTAGTTGGTTAAGAGCTTGTTCAAGAGTGCGAGCTCTGAGCAACAGCGGTTCGAGTCCCAGACCGAGCTGAGCTGCCAACAGGTGGCAGGATGGCTCAGCTAAACAAAAAATAAATAAATAAATAAGAATTGAACAGGACAGAAACTTTTTTTTTTTTTAAGATTTTTATTGGGGAATTGGTGGGATGGGAACAGTGCTGGGGAATTGGGGGAAAGGGACCAGACAAGTTGCTGTCGTTTTGTTCTTCAGTCTAGTTGTGGAGGACGTTGCTTCACTGGCCCAAGTTGGCACCATCATTGCGCTTTTCCCAG